AACAATCTCCCCTTTTTTGATGATGACAAATATAATTGATCAAACGGTTTCAGATACACTATATTAGAAGTATTTGCAAGCTCATTTCATTTCTCCCCCTTAGTTTATGTACTCTTTCTTACTAGTTTATGTACTCCCCTTTACTAGATTGTTTCTTAGCCGAGTCTGATAAACTGATCAATTCTTTTCTATTTCTCCCCCTTTGTAATCATCAAAAAGAAATATATGGCAGAATAGTTATCAAGATTAATTGTTATAACCATACAATGATATTTTTGGTCGGATCATGAAAATTAGAACTTTTTAACAGAGCATTCAGTCTTTCAAGATCACCATGCATGAATTATGTATACTTAGTTAAACTAGATTAGGTTTGGATTATCAAACGTACATGATAGGAAGGACAGGTGTACAATAAAGACTTATTATTATTTTTCTCATTTGTAGTCATTAGGATGGATGAGCTTCTAAAGATAAATAGACATAGAAAATCTTATATAGTAAGCAGGATGCTTAAAGAGAATCCTGTAGTCATAAGCAGAACGATTTATGCTCAACGAAAAATGCATTATTATAAAAATGTGCTACATGAAGATTCACTATGATCAAATGAAATCACCTATTCTATTTTTGATTAATCAGACGAAGTAGGTAAGTTTTTGGAATCAGTCTGATACTAGAAGATAGCATTGAACAAATTATTTTTCATAACAGCCAACAATCCTATATAAGAAGAAGTAAATGTATTATTGACTAGACTTAGAGTTATATACATCATCAGAAATCTACACATAGAGGTTTTTATCTCGGTTATCCTTATTTTCCTATTTCTCCTACAGTTATTCCGAGGTCCACATCCTTGTGAGGATCTACTAGAGCAGTAAGCCATTTTTTTAGGACAAGAATGAGGGAACTTTTGCTTGATTTCTAGCAGAAGGCCATTTTTATGGAGGAAGCACGTTTAGTGAGTTTTTCCTGTAGATGAACTTGCTTCTCCCTTTTTCTGCCAAAGCCCACTCTTCATTCTTCTTGTGCTTTTTCAGCACCAACTCCAGAACAATTGTTTTCACTTATCTGTCCATTCCAGGTTGCATCTTCCCCTACCTGTTTTGACGTAGAACCCTTGCTCTGAGAAGGTTGGTATGCACCGAACACCATTCCTTCCAGGAATCTTTGAGGAGAATTCGAGAGGACATAGTGCATCAACACCAAGTTAGTGTAGATGACACTTCTAGTGCGGATACACCAAAGTATCCCACTTTCCTTCATCTGGTTGATATTGAAGTGACACTCCAGATATTTTTTTGTCTTTACCTTCGAGGTGAAGGTATAGACGCAGGTTATGGCTTTGTGCATTTCAGCAAGGTTTTTATGTCCATCCATTGTAGTGGATGACGAACATTTGGAAGAGAGGTTTTTGTAGTTTTAGGAGTTCGAAAGTGTGAGTTGTGTTGTGATTTCTAAGAGCCCAATGGGTTTTTATAGCCAGAGAAAGCTTCGAAATTAACTAATTATCTTAAATACATGCATTACGTGGCGCCTATTTATCTTCCTCGTGCAAAGTAACGTGCGGCTACATTTAATTGGAGATAAGGGAGTTGTCTTTTCCAACAGAGGCAAAAGTGACGGTCATGCTACCTATAGATTGGATAGCATATGTATTGACAATGAGAGATATTTGATTACACAAGATAGACACGCCTTCCTATGATGATTGTTATTAATTTGAAGTGTAATCAATAGAGATTCTTAACGCAAGAATCAGATGAATATACGAAAATTACTTTGATGTAGCATCATACTAGAATTTCCAAACACCGTAGTTCCCTACTGCATTATGAGGAGTATTTGGAAGAAAATGATTTTCCTATGCATAGGGGTTAGATAGTATATATTCTAACATCCTAGCAAGTTCAACATGTTTTTTTTTTGTAACTGATCCATACCTCAGAAAGAATGATACTTGCTTTACCTATTCTGACTTCTCTTTGTTCCTTGTTCTTTCATGAGTCGATGTATCCCCTGCATTATTGGATGCTCAACCAAAGGGGTTAAGCTCTATGTCAGTCGTTCGTCTTTCTTTCTCTTTAGCATTCCTTTGTCCTTCGTTCTTCTGTGGATCGTCGTATTCCCTTGCATTGTTAGATGCTCAACCCAAGGGGTCAAGCTCTAATACCAATTGAAGTTAGTGGAAAAACACATAGAAAGGGGGGTTGAATATGTGTGTGTGTGTGTACGAAGGAATTTTCTAAATCATTTTCGCAAGAGTAATGTTCTTCGTCCAAAGCACTTTTAAACGTTAGACTGTCATGCATAATTTGTTTAACATAAGGTCAATGCGTCTGTAGGGTTTATCGTCTGCTAGGAAAAATGTTTCATAATGATAATTATTGAAGTTCTTACATTTTCCTTTCTCAAGATAGTTTCGTTTTAGATAAGCAGTAGATAAATCTTTTCAGTGGAATATATCTATCAAGCATATTTGCATCTTCGTCTGAGACATGGTTTTAACGATATGTAAATATTGGACGAAGTCTTTCACAAAGATTTAATCAGTAGGGAAGATTTGTTCCTAGTTAAACAAGAAAAATAAAGCAATTATTTTTATACTGGTTCGCTCAACTGAGCTATCTCTAGTCTCCTTCAACTGAAGCGTTCCACTAGATTAACATTTTAGTATTGTCGTCCACTCCTAGACCTAAGTATTCTCGACCACTCTTGGACATAAGTATTCTCGACCACTCCTGGCCTTGAGTATTCTCGACCACTCCTGGCCGCTCGACTTCACTCACTATAAGAATTTCGCGTATTAGCGAGGGAATTTAGCGAGGGATATAAATCTAAGCTATTTTCTCGCTAATTAGAGAGGGATTAGAGAGGAAATGTGTTCCTCGCCAGTCCCTCGCTAATTAGCGAGAAAATAACTTGGATTTATATCCCTCGCTAAATACTGATCATTTTTCGACCAACCTTTATCTCCTCACAAATCCTTCGCTAAAGTTAGTGCTTATTTAGCGAGGAACTTAGGCCCTCGCAAATGTCTTGCAAATCCCTCCCCAAATTATGAGCCAAAATAAAAAATAAAAAAAAAAGAATTTTTCATCTAGCGAAGAAGTTTTTGTGTCGCAAATCCCTTGCCAATGAGTTATACGTATCTCCCTCGCCAATTCCTCGCAAATCCATCACCAATTAGCGAGGGAGTAGAGAGGAATTATGTTCCTTGCCAGTCCCTCGCGAATTAGCGAGCAAATAGCTTGGATTTATATCCCTCGCTAAATTTTCTCGCTAAATAGTGATCATTTTGCGACCAACCTTTATCTCGTCACAAATCCTTCACTAAAGTTAGTGCTTATTTAGCGAGGAACTTAGACCCTCACAAATGCCTTGCAAATCCATCGCTAATAAGTTATAAGTATATCCCTTGCAAATTATTCGCAAATCCTTCGCAAATTAAGGAGAGAAAAGGATTTTCGCTAATCCCTTGCAAATAAGAGATTACGTTGCTTGCAAAACCCTCACAAATGTCTCACAACTTTAGAGAACAAGACCCTCGCAAATTGCTATTAAACCCCTCACAAATTTAGAGAATAAATCCCTTGCAAATTGTTTTATAGTGTGTTTGGATGAGTAATTTAAATGAAGTAATTCATTTACTTGAAGAATTTCAAATTATTTGAGGTGAAATACGTTGTTTGGATGGAGAATTTATAAAGAATTTGAAATTCAAATATTTGTAAAAGTCGTTGAATTAGTAAAATTTCAAATTCTCCCACAAAAGTAAGAATTTGAAATTCCTCATATTTTTTCTCTCTTTTTATTTCACTTATATATATTTTATCTTATCTCTTATCTTTTCATTTTTTAATTATTGAATATTTAAAAATATTATTTAAATTATTAAATATTATCTAATATTAATTTTAAATATTATTAAATATTTAAAAATTAGCTAATATTTATTTTTATAAATTTTAATTTAAAAATCTCAGCATATAAATATATTTTTAAAACTAATTTTACCATGGTGAAATCAAATTATCATATCCAACCTAATAATTTTAAAATTTAAGAAATTTAAATTGACTTATCCAAACAAAATATTTTAAGAATGATAAGGTTACAATTAAAATAATAGAGTTAACGTGGGTTATTTTTGGCATTACCCACGGTTAAAACCTCCGGAAAATGCATTTCCTGCGGTTGTGATTTTCGCCAGGAAAGCATCCGTGGCAAGCGATTTACCAGCGGTTTTTAACAACCCCCGGAAATGCATAGAATACCCGCGGTTTTGAAACCCTCGTTAACGACATAGTCTACCAGGAGTTGTAAACCCCCATTAACACCATCATCAATTTTGACTATTAATTTACTACGGGCTTTAAACCCCCGTTAATGTTGGCACATAACCTGCTGTTTATATAATCCCATAATTTATCAGGAGTTGTAAACCCTCGTTAATGCCACACTATATTTTTAATATCCTGTTTGTATTTGTAATTTTTAAATCCCTGTAGCTTATAAATGGTTTTTAACCATGTATAATATTTCAATCTATATATAAATTTTGAAATGCACAAGTTATATAAATATTAAAAAATAAAATGAACAAACAATCCACAAATTTAATATATTAATAAGCAAATGTACATAAACAAGTCATCCAAAAAAATTCCTAACAAGCAACATCCATAGTTTAGTAACATTCAAAATGACTTTTTAAGAAGTAATAAAAACATATCCAACAAAATATTGATTTTCCTAAAACAAAAAGGTCAACATCTTTCCCTAACAAATATAGCCCTATTGTCTATCTTGAGAATTTGTTGGAGAATGATTAGGGACATTAATTGGTTGTGCACTTCCTTGGTCAGATACCTACAATTAAATATAAAACTTAGTTAGAAATATAAAGTATATTTTAAAATATTTATAAAATTAATTCAAAAAAATATTGAGCATTTTTAGCATTAATATAGTTGAACTTACTCCAATTTCTTTGGCTTCATCATTCACGAATTCCCCATTAGCATGTTTATGTGTTGCTATCCATATTTCTCCCCTACTAACTTTGCGGCCACACTCTAATTCCTACAAAATCCAAAAAAAAACAAGAATTATATTTAAAAAAGAGAAAGTATTATTTCATTATTAAAAATTAAGAAGCATATGCTTACCATCTTTTGCTTCTTGCGTGCAATGCTCATGGAACCACCTGTGTGGGGAATTGTTTGCTTTTTTCTATTCTCTTTATTTTTTTGGGCTTTTTCCTAATATTTGACATAAAAACAATTTGTAAATACAAGTAAAAATCAAACATAAATTAAAATTTAATTTTACCTTAGTTTTTGAATCTAAACGATAGTCTACAAAAGATGCCCATTGATCTTTATTTAATCCTTCTGGGACCATTGCAATCAATTGATCTCTATTATGAGTTCCATCATCCCTTTGTTGCCACAATTCTTAACGATGCTCTCTCTATTTTATGTTAAGTGATTTGAAGATATAAGCCACGTGAAGATCATGCTCAACTTCAAACTTAGCCTTCAAAGTATGCGACGATCAAAGTTAGAGACAATTTGTAGCACAATTGAATATATAATGTAAGTAAAATGCATAACCACTTACTTGAATGATGTCCTTAAGTACATTTTGCTTGTAGTCTTTAGGGATCTTTTTCCAACTAGTCTGATAGACAAATAGTATTATGGCAACAAAAAGCATCAATTTTTAGTCTAATCATGTATACACAAAAGATAAAAACGGTTGTGTGAAGTGTGGAGGAAGGGACTGATCATGTAACGGATAAATCCAAAGTTAACCAGCATGGTGATCCAGCTATGTTCCGTCAAAAGAAAAGGCAGCTGGCTGGTGAAGCAGCTGCTGATTCAGCCACTAAACTGGCGCAGTTTGGTACAGTAGGAGGCTTGGATGATGTGCATGCACAACATGTTGGTGCAGCAGGAGCTGGACTATCTCCACCGAATGGAACAGCTCATACTGCACATGCACCGTTTAAAGGGACTTCTAATTCCAATGCTGGATAGCAAGGGCGTGAACTAGCTAGTTGGTGCTTCTCCAGCTCAATCATGCGGTGATGCCACAAGTAACCAAGTTGCTGATGCAGCTGCTGTTGCAACCTCAAAGAACGTCCCGGTCAAGGCTAATCAATTAAACATATTATCTCTTTCAAATCAATTATCTTTCCATTCATTTTTCTTTCCGAGTTTACTACTTTTCTTTAACTTTTTTAATTGCTTTCTTTTTTTACCTATCCTTAAAAAAAATTTCAATTTCACCTACCAATCAAATGCTTTTTATGAGTAATTGGAGGACCCACGATTAGTTAAAAGGCATATTACTTCGTCTGATTAATCAAAAATAGAATAGGTGATTTCATTTGATCATAGTGAATCTTCATGTAGCACATTTTTATAATAATGCATTTTTCGTTGAGCATAAATCGTTCTGCTTATGACTACAGGATTCTCTTTAAGCATCCTGCTTACTATATAAGATTTTCTATGTCTATTTATCTTTAGAAGCTCATCCATCCTAATGACTACAAATGAGAAAAATAATAATAAGTCTTTATTGTACACCTGTCCTTCCTATCATGTACGTTTGATAATCCAAACCTAATCTAGTTTAACTAAGTATACATAATTCATGCATGGTGATCTTGAAAGACTGAATGCTCTGTTAAAAAGTTCTAATTTTCATGATCCGACCAAAAATATCATTGTATGGTTATAACAATTAATCTTGATAACTATTCTGCCATATATTTCTTTTTGATGATTACAAAGGGGGAGAAATAGAAAAGAATTGATCAGTTTATCAGACTCGGCTAAGAAACAATCTAGTAAAGGGGAGTACATAAACTAGTAAGAAAGAGTACATAAACTAAGGGGGAGAAATGAAATGAGCTTGCAAATACTTCTAATATAGTGTATCTGAAACCGTTTGATCAATTATATTTGTCATCATCAAAAAAGGGGAGATTGTTAAGTCAGACGAAGACGAAAGTGATTCTCAGCAAGGTTTTGAATGAGACAAATATAATACATGTTGTTATTTCTAACAAGTGTGTTAGTGTTTCAGATATAAGTACAGGCAAGTTGAAGAATAGAGAATATGCATGTATTACCGTCTACACCAGAAACAAGAGATATGAGCTAAGCACTGGATAAAGGCTGATCAAATGAAGGGAATATATCAGACAGAGACACCCACAAACACATACACAAAAGAAATAAAGAACAGGACACATGCAACCAAGATGAAAGGTAAAAGCTAACAAAATGACAGATGAGGAGATCAAACGATCAAACAAAATCAAGCCCAGCATGATGGAGGACCATCCATGGAGCTTCATGTGAGACCCATCACTAAGCCAATGGCTAAGAGAGTGGAAGAGGATAGGGAAGTCAAAACCTTAGAAGAGATGCTTCTCAAGATTAAAATACACTAATCACTCTCCTAAGCTTTGATAGCCTAGAATTTATCTTTATGCCTATTTTTCCCTTGTCTTTGATTTTCTATTTTTACCCTTGTATTTTGGGGTATCTTAGACATAGGATCTATTTTACTTGTATTTCCAATTTTACCCTTGTATTTTAGTCATAGGATTTATTTTCTTTTATATTTTCCATTTTACCCTTGTATTATGGGGTGCTTTAGATTATAGGTTTTTATTTTTGGGCTAAGGTATTTGATTAGGGTGGGAACAAAACCTAGACATATTTTTTGCGGCTCTTGGACCTATTTTTGGTGTTAGAAAGGCTTAGGCCCAAGTGGTGGGAAAAGGTTGCATGGTCTTATCATGCACCTAGATGTAGCCTAACTAATCCCAAAGATTCCTGCTAGGGAAAATGTTTCATAATGATAATTATTGAAGTTCTTACATTTTCCTTTCTCAAGATAGTTTCGTTTTAAAGACAAGCAGTAGATAAATCTTTTCAGTGTAATATATCTATTAAACATATTTGCATCTTCGTCTGAGACATGGTTTTAACGATATGTAAATATTGGACGAAGTCTTTCACAAAGATTTAATCAGTATCTTTCAAGATCACCATGCATGAATTATGTATACTTAGTTAAACTAGATTAGGTTTGGATTATCAAACGTACATGATAGGAAGGACAGGTGTACAATAAAGACTTATTATTATTTTTCTCATTTGTAGTCATTAGGATGGATGAGCTTCTAAAGATAAATAGACATAGAAAATCTTATATAGTAAGCAGGATGCTTAAAGAGAATCCTGTAGTCATAAGCAGAACGATTTATGCTCAACGAAAAATGCATTATTATAAAAATGTGCTACATGAAGATTCACTATGATCAAATGAAATCACCTATTCTATTTTTGATTAATCAGACGAAGTAGGTAAGTTTTTGGAATCAGTCTGATACTAGAAGATAGCATTGAACAAATTATTTTTCATAACAGCCAACAATCCTATATAAGAAGAAGTAAATGTATTATTGACTAGACTTAGAGTTATATACATCATCAGAAATCTACACATAGAGGTTTTTATCTCGGTTATCCTTATTTTCCTATTTCTCCTACGGAGGGAAATGAAAAAAAAATAATAATCATTACAAAAATAAAAAAATTTAAAAAAATAATATATTATTAAAATATACCAACAGTTTTAAATTTTAACCCCTGTAACTTAATAATATTTAACAAGGGTTATTGAAATCCCAGTTAATTACTTATGTTCCCGAGGGTTAGCATAACCCTCATTAAAAAACCCCAGTTAAATACATATGTTTTGGTAGTATGGCTAGGGGAACTTTTCTTTCTTCACCTACTTGGTAACAAGTGAAGATTTGCTCCACTTTCATCTCCCAATCTAAGTAGGCATATACATCCTCCTTTCCATGAAAGTAAGGGAGATCAACCCTTGATTCCCTCACTTTGGGTTCCCTAATGATTCTTCTAGGTTTGGGTTGGTAATAAGCATCAATATTCATACTACCCTCATTGTCTTGGCTAGGAGAGTCATTGGAACTCTTGGTTGAACCTTTTGAAGAACTTTTTTGACTTTTTCTTTTCTCAATTTTTTTTAAAAGTTTTTCTTCTTGTTGCTTAATCTTGTTTATCTCTTCCTCAAGAGCAATAAGTTGTACTTCTCTTTCAATCTTTTCTCTTTCTTTTTGAAGTACTTCTTGTTGCTTCCAAAGTTTTAGTGCCTCAACCTCCTTAACAATTTGAGAAAAACTTTTTGGAGATTCAAGATCACTATCACTTTGAGAAATATGACTCATGATTAAGCAATAAGAATTTTATATGCTATGCAAAAGATATAAAATGTTTTTGGTATTTTCTAGGAACAAAAATAGCACTTGGAAGTCTAAGTGTACAAGTTGCACTATCAAGGGAGGTGAGCTACTAAGAGCCACTTAATAACCAACCCTTTTCAAGTGAAAATTACTAAACTCCTTTGTGGTATTTTTAATTCCCCAAAACTTTTCACAAATTTTTTTTTGTATGCTTTTCAAAATTTGTCTTTGAAGCTAAACTAAGCGTGAAAAAATAAGGCTACACAAGTCTAGACGAATTAAGGTAGTAAAGTAAAACATGAATAAGATCACACAACTTAAAGGAAGCAAGTAAAGCAACTAGTCAGTTTTCCCTAAGTGGAAGCTTGAAACATATGAAATTTCCAAGCCACTTCCACTAGTACTACACCTGAGTAGGCTACCAAGGGATTAGATATACCTTACCAGATTCTTAATACTCCCTCCAAGCTTTACAAATTGATTTAAAAATACAAGAGAATTGGCAAAATTTAAACTAAACTAGAAAGCAAATAATGGCGGCTTTTGTGTCCAAATTAGTGACGGATTTGTTGTCCAATGTTTCTAACACTTGTTCAAGTGTTTCAATCCGCCACTAACCCTTGAATTAAGTTGCTCCTGGACCTGCACAATGAACACAACAAAAATGGTTAATGTAGGCTGCTCACAAGGTGAAAGGAATGGCCACTCTTGCGAAGGTGGTTTAGGAAAAGTTTGGTCACTAAATTAGGTCAAATTTTGTAGTCTTAATGTCCAAATCTTTTCCTTCATTTTGTTGAGTCAATGCTTGATCCTTAAGCAAGGATTTGAGCCCACTTCCAGCAAAGAAATTTAAATGAAAAAAAACAAGACAAGCAACAAAAGCACAATTTAAGAAGCTTATACCAAAAATTGAAGATAATGTGCATATGACAAGACTCAAAGATGTCCAACAATTAAAACTGAAAAATAAGACTCCAAAGAAGGCTAGCACTCAGTTAGAAAGGTTCCTAGATAAGTACTAGAGTAGATTAACAACACAAAAAAAAATTGAAGGAATTTGAACAAGTATACACAAAGTAGTAGTCTAAAGAAAAATAAGGAATCAAGTGAATTTTCTAGTTTCTACTCTTCTCGGCTTTTTCCTTTTAAAATGTTTTATATATATTTTTTTTATTCTTTCTTTTTCTGAATTCAAATTAAGATTCCAGAGAAGGTATTTTCCTTTTGTTTTCAAATTTTTCACAATTCCAAGATATAGTAACCGAGACTACAAGTTTGTCAAATTTCAAGTGAAAAAATGATGAAACTACTGCACTCGTTTTTAGGTTTTTGTAATGGATTCTTTTGTTCACTTTTCTCTTCTTTTTT